GCTGCCAGGTTGGCAAGCACACATCTGGACCTTTGTGATAGGTGAGAGGAGCAGCCAGTGGTCTGGGGTGGTGCTAGGAAGTTGAGAATGGAGCCACAAGGAAGGAGGAAAGACATGGAAGATTGCATCCCTACCAGCTTGCCATTCCGATTCTCTCCTTCCCAAAGTCTTTACCTTTGATTGTAGAAACAAACCAGGCACAGCATGGCCCCCTTCATGATGTACTTGGTGGGCATGTCGTGAGTGGAGCCGGTTGGGGCCGAGGGTCAGACTAGATGGCCTGGGAGACCCCTTCTGACTCCCTCTGTTTCTGTGTTTCTAACCCAACTTTCCTTCCACACGTTTGCATAGAGCATGCACTTATGTAGGGTAGGGACCAGCCGTGGTCACAGTTATACTGCCGCCTCAAAGCTTTGGCAGAAATATAGTACCAATTCATTGATGTCTGCTGTTACATGTTCTAATGGGAGCACCAGTCTATACCCTTGATTGGGATGGGCACCTTCTGAGGGTTGGAGAATCATGTTCCCACCCTGCCAAATCCACAGGGAGTTGTGCCCGCTCTTCCTGAAATTGTTGTCCTGTTTGCAAACACAATAGCATTGCAGGGGAATGTAGTATATGCTTTGTTTACATGCCAAGCCACTTTTTTTGACCACAGCCAATCTAGCAACAGGGGTAGCTCCCCCTGCAAAAACAGCCATCCTGGGTGGAAGGGGCATGCTGTCCAGAGGGCACATATGGCCAGCCCCTGCTCTGTGTCCTACTTATAAGCAGGACATATACTTGCCAAATATCAGTTCCTATAGCACTGCCTTATATCGGGGTCAAAAAAGGTACCTTCACACCTTATAGCATTTGCCTGTAGCCACTGATGGTGGGAGTGGTGGGAAGGGGAGGAGGAATTGCTCTGAGTCATACACAAATCCTCTCCCACTTCCCAAAGTTTTGAAGAGTTCAGGGTGAGAGAAGTGCAGAAGCACTCCAAAAAGTGGTTTGTGTGGCAGGAAGGGGAGAGAGAAAGCATGAATGTTTGCCTGGTTTGTAGTGAACCTTTGTACCAAAGGGAATGGAAGAAGGTGGCTTGGAAACACGCAGGAGGTGAAGAGTCGGGGCTGGCCACTCATAGATGCAAGCACGTTGCTTTCAAAAGCTAGAAGCTGTCAGTGTCAGAATGCTCCAGTGCAGAAAGGAGGGATAAGAAATGTCAGTAAAATCATTTGCATAACCCTGCAAAATAACAACCCACAGGAGCATATTTTACATATAGGAGGTCTCAATTCAGTCAGTGGCATCTCTAGTTAGAAGAATTTCAGCTAGTTGGTAATGGAGAGAGACCCTGGCAAGCCAATGCCTGTCAGAATAGAAGGAAATACTGGCCTAGACAGAGGTCTGGCATGGTAATATAAGGTAAATTCCTAGGTTCCCAGTCCTGTCTGAATGAAGCACTCTTCAGACCTATGGATTGCAGTAGGAGTTCCTTGCATATTTAATTCTCCCATCGAAATCAATGCAATTTCATGGACTGGGCTTAACTGCAGCAAACATGAGCCTTTTAATGGGTACCATTGAATAAAACAGATGCACAGCTGTTTCCCAGATGGCCTCGCCCCATCTCCCCAGACCACCTGTTATTTGGTGGTTTCTTCAACTTTTGCCTATTTTTTTCCAGTTCTAAAATGTTGGATGCCTCTCCAAACCTGAAGTCCTTGAAGCTAAAACATCGCCTTTGGTGAGAATGTGGCCCGAGTGTCTCCAGAATGAATTTGGCTGTCTGGCTGAAATACATCCCACTCTAAGCTCTCAGCATCATTGGACCCCTGAAGAACTAGCATACTCGGTATAAGCACCTCCTTTCTCACCCAACAAAATCCATACCAACCAAGCTGATCTAATGTGCTAAGAATCCGTGCACCATGTGTAATATACGCATAGACATTTTGATGCCTTATCCCTCACTCTGCAAAATTGAGCAAGGTAGCGGAAGGAGCATGAAATACTGCCGAATATAGAGAGCTTGTGGTCCACTCTTTAATTATCTCCTACTGTGATAGGTCCAGGCTGTTCTCTGACCTCACCACTGGGAGCATGAAGAACCTCTGCAAGGAGCATTAATAAACCTTTGGGGCACACTGCTGAGACTTTATCAGAGACGACATGGCATGGTTTCAAAAGACTCTTGAACTGAGCTTCCTTCTCCCCCCGCCATCTCTTGCATGAATATTAACAGGATACTGGTTTGAACTTGGAAGGGCTCTCATTCCAACTTGTTCTCTTTGACACAGAAGCAGCTTTATGGTATACAGAGATTAAAAGGCAACTCGGAGGATCAAACCTGTCACTCAGTTCAGGAAGTTGAGTTTTAAAATCAAAAGATGACATGTGTCATAGACTTGCATTCAAATCTTGTGCTTTCCAAAAGCATACGGGTCATAACAGACCCCCAGTCTGGAAGGGACATACCCTCTTCCAGAAAAGAGAGCTAGTAAGATGCATTTAGCAGCTACACATTTTTGTTGGTTGGTGCTCTATTAAAACACCTAAGGTGCTTAACAAACTGCAGACCAGCTCTTTTGAAAATCAGTGAAAGGTTTTTAATTGGGTAATTTGACTAGCTGTTGCAGCCCTGATTACAAGGTTTTTCTGCCAAGCTCACAGAAGACCCCAGTTAAAGTACATCTTTCAAATGAGGATACTGCCATCTTTAACTTGACCAACCTATTTAATAACTAAAGGTTGTTAGTCATAGCTGAATCACACTGTATTCACTTCAGGGTTTGGAAGGAATGTTTCAATTGCTGTTTAAAAAAATGTTCATATTACAAACTGGTGTGCGCATGCAAAAAACCCTTTGCAGCTGGCCAAGACTTCCCTCAGGTGACCTTATTTATTTATTACAAGCATTTGTATCCCGTCCTTCTGCACAAGCGCTCAGGATGGCTTACATAATATAAAATTTCAAAATACAATAATAAAACCACAATTATTAAAACATCTAAAATTGAACATTATAAACTGAAAAAGGAAAAATAAAATAGGAAGTGCAACTGTGAAAACAAAAAATCCTAAAATGTCTAAAACCCTTGTTAAAATGATGGTCTCTACCTGGCGCCTGAAGGGGTATAACACCAGCATCAGCCGGACCTCTCTGGGCAGCGCATTCCATAGTCTTTGCTACTTAAGGCCCTTGCTGCTGACCAACAGCATTCTTCGCTACAGTTTGGCCCATAGGGTATTCTGGAATTACTGGTTTTCAGAAGACAGCTGTACTGCTTTCTCAGTAATGCAAATTAAAATTGCTTTAACCATCCCTTTTGGACCAGTAAGTTCAAATAGTTTATACTGTTTAATGTAGTCTAGTGGTACTAAGAGATGTATTTATGGCATTAGCTTCCATGGACTGAGTTCATTCCATCACATGCTACAACAGACACGGTGACCCCATCAGTTATCATCTTAACAAGAATTCGTTGTAAGATGATGCATTTATCTTACAACCACTCTGTTCCCCTCCATCAACCTTCTTCAAACCAAACCACTGAACATACTGGCTGGGCTGATGGGAGTTGTAGTTCAGTGCATGTGCAGGGCACGCAGCTGGGGAAAGCTGTTCTATATATACCAAGAGAATTCTTACAGGAGTTGGAGTTAGAAAGTAAAAGGTAAGGGAGAGGCTGGGCAAAAGCCACCTGGAACAAGTTGTTTTCAAACTTGCTCCATGTAAAACCTGTTCCTTTCATTGTGGAACTCATGGCCCCTACAGGGGATTCCTAGGTGGTTTCCCCTTCAAGCATTGACCAAAACTAGGCTTACTCTTCATTAGGGTGGTTACTTGACCCCCTGGGACCTACTACAGTGGGCCAGCCAGTTTGATCTGTGTGGGACTCATGATCTCCCAACTCTTCCAACACCTTTTTGGACCATACGGGACTTCTATCAACCTGTTCCTATAGCTCAGCAACTCCCCATGCCTTTCATCAGCCTTCCCCAACTTAGTGCCTTCAAGATGTTTTGGACTTCATCTCCCATCAGCCCCAGACAGCACAGCAAAGATTTATGCTAGGAGTTGTAATCCAAAACATCTGGATTACCAGGCTATCAGATTGGGGATACCTTACATAAGCTATCAGCAGCCTACATTGTCCAATCAGGTGCACTGTCTAGGATCATGAAACGACTTCTGTGGCATCTTGCCTTTTTTCCTCTTGTGAGGAACTCAAAGCAGTTTACATAGCTGTTTTATCCTCACAACCACCACCCTGTGGGGTACATTGGGCTACAAGTCCATAACTGGCCCAGTCACCCAGTGAGAGCCATGACCAAGCAGGGGCTAGAATCTGGGTTTCCCAGGTCTCCAGCCCAACAGGCTGGCATGCAGCATGTGGCCTGCAACTTCTAGGGCAAGTACTCTACATCATGATCCCAAATATTTTAACCCTAACTTGAGTTTTTGTAGTAAGTGCTTCTTTCTTTTGAGGGTGAGGTGGGACTCTCTTAAATTACTGAGCAGAATGCACTCAAATTCTTCTAAGACTCTGGAAGCAGTAATGCATCCCAAGACTCAACACAGCATAGTAAGGCAGCTATTTCAGTGCCATGCCAAATTAGTCATGTACAGTCCAATCCTAAGCAGAATTATTCAGAAATACTATGAATAAATTCAATGGGACATGGAATAGATTACGGCCTTAGCTTTTATATCTGGAAGACAGATGCTAAAGCACATTTGAAGAGCTGGCATCAAGTCAAGTAATTAATACAACCCACTTTAATATTTGACTGGATCTTCTATAAATCCTGTTGTCTTTATAGGAAGGACTTACTACATTTGTACCATAATAAGGGTTGATGAATTGCAATAGGTGGTGATTAATTTTCCAATTTCAGATAACCCCTCATTTAACTAGTACCTATGAAGGTATTTTGTTGGCTCAGTTCTTACAAGCTATCAATTTGCACAGTACTTCTCAGGATTGAAAAGAATCTTCTAAGAGCAGAGCTGACACTTCATATTCAACTTTAATATAAAAAGACATTAATCACTTTCAAATGCATAAGAAAGTTCCCCTTACAAACTGCATGGTCTGGCACAAAACTGAGTTACAGAAATTGGCATCTCTACCTGCCAAGACTGGAAAACAAACAATGCTGTTTTCAAATCGGGTGCTTCAAAAGCACTTAAATTAAGGCTACAATCATGAAATCACTTCCTTGTAAGTGGCCCCATGAACCTCAGGAGGGGCTAGTTATACAAAGTTGTTTAAGGTTGCCACCTAAACTAAGACAAAGACAGTTAGCTACACATACACAAGACAAGGATCTTGATGCTTTGAAGAGTTGTTCTGGGACATGTGTGGCACACGGTTCTACTGGCTTCAAGGGGTTACAGTGACTCCCGTTGCATAAAGAATATACTGCAGCATCTATGCTGGGAGGTAAGGTGTCTAATGTTCTGAGATGTGCATGAATACAGTATCACATCTGTTTTCCAGTATCACATTCTGGTAAAGTCAGGAGACTGTAAAGCAACATTTCCAATTCCAATTCCAATCCAAGCAAACTGATACAAATAGCTGAAATGGTTAAATGGCAGAAATGCCCCATAACAGTTAAGTGAGAACATTAACTTTAGTCAAGAGAATTCATAGCTCTTCTCTTCTCACCCTGCATTTATGTTTTTTGTATCACTGTTTTTACCAAGGCAAATACTGATCAATTTTTCATTGAAAATGCTGTCAAGTATCTTCTCACCAGAAACTCTTTTAGAAATTAAGACATTTTTTGAATGTTTGGAGAACACTCTTGAAAGGCCTCTGTAACAATCCTGTAGTGTTTAGTGCAAGGTGGGGTGCTCCCCAAACACGGAATTAAGTGGGATGGTAGACTTCAGCCAAATTGTTCACTCGATGACATATATATTTGTATATATTTATAAATAAAACCCACATAATTTATGCTTGAAAAGGAAAAAAAAAACATGGCTTGAAATGTAAATGGATCAAGACTTCATGCAGCCTTATTAGAACTCCTCAGATGTTCACATGTCAAAGGTAACATTACTCCTAAACAGTACTCCAGGCTTGAATGCTGACAACTGCTCCTACCTGAATGTGGTATTTACACACCTTTACTGAGCTAGAGAAGGGAGGCTCCATGGTAAGAAAAAAAATCCCTTTTTCAAAGTGATTAAAAAAATACAACTGCAGGTATCTCCAGGCACTAAATAAGCAGTTGGCAGAAGATTTGTAGCAAAAATATATCTTCAGAAAATAGCTGAAAGATTCTGAACACTTATAAACACTTTTTAAAAACTATAACTATATTTGAAAAAACAAAATAATGACAGAAAAAGCTAGCTAGTATAATGAGAATCACTGCTTTAAGGCTCTTTAAGAGCTTGTGTAGAAAGTTTATGGATGTCAGTGAAATATTTACTTGAAATTAAGGAGATGGAACCAAGCATTTGATCCTCAAACCATTAAAGGTAGTCCCATGAAAGTCAACTGATGAAGACAACAGGAAGAAATGACGGGGTGTAGAAAAGGACTCCGCCTGGACAGCAGAGTTTGACTTAGGCTAAGGACTTTATATCCAGCCTCTATAGGCTGAGGACTGGAGTTTGTTTAGCACTTATACAGAGGATGGAGGAATGAGATGGTCAAAAGAAAATAAATCCTACTACACCATTTTATATCCCTAATCACTAGAAGGGATTTGCAAATAATTTTTTTTGGAAAAAAAAGTCTTAAATGTTGAGCCCCAAGGAGAAGGGGAAGATGTATGAGCAAGATACAGAGGATTGTGTACTGAAGGGTCTTGTGACACACCAAGCCATTACCGAAACACCAGGGATTTCCAAAACCGTTTGACATGGCACGGGTCTGGCGTATATTAAAGAAAAAAAGATGGAAGACCTGCTGGGCATCTGGTAACTCATAGGCATACCTGGAACACCCACAGTGAATTGTGGCCCTGAAAATACGTACTTGCAGTTTGAACAATACAAATTTCAGGTTAATGTTAGACCACATTAACATGAATTTGCAAACTGAAGTGCATTTTTGGAAAATTCACGTGCAGTTTTGAGAGGACAAGCTATTTGGAAGTTTTACTACTCAAAATCTGGCTTCTTGGATGTCTCCTGTACCCTGTGTCTCAAGATTCAACCAGAATTTCCACAAAATGATCAAGCTCATTAAGGTCAGATTTACAGTTAGAATTAGAATTAGTAGTTGCTTGAGGAAATGTTTCAAGTACATCACAATGTCCCATTTTTGTACCGCCCATCATTCCTGTTAACACTGTATCAAGATTGTAATAGGAACTGTCAACTTCTGAAAAGAGATCTTCGACAGAGTCGGGAGTTTTTGTTTCTAAGGTTTCAAATATTTGATCTAATGATTTATGGAAGTTTCCTCTGTTTTCTGGAGAGCTTTCCATCTCCCACATGTTACCCTGCAGGTTTCTAGGAGCTTGTAATGGAGCAGGTCTTAAGATTTCTGCATTCTCTTTGGACTGTGTGTCCTCAAAGTCTTTTGAGAAGCCACCATAACCTTGAACAAGCTTTTCTTCAGCTTGTTCCTTAGAAGAACGACAGAGGATATCTGTTGACACCAGACAGTCTAAAGAGGTTGGTCCTGTATTCTGTGCATTTATCATCTGCCATGTTCCATCTTGGGTCATTTCCTCTTGGATCTGCCGTACTGTATTGGCTATAAGCACTGAACGATACAGATTAGGTTCAACAAGCATGTGGCAGAGCTGAAGTTTAACCAAAGACATGTCTAGCAGTGACTGGCGCTGAAGATTGTATGAAGGGATAGCTTTAAACCCAGCTAAAGTTCCTTCAATATCTTCCTCCCCATCAATACATTTCCTCTTTAGTCCGCGTACAAACATTGTGTCCTGTTAAAAATAGAGAAAGATGGCATTAAATGAGGAATTTATGGACTGTCTTCTAAAAAGCATTTGCATTTTAAATCAAAGAAGCCTGATTATGTAACTGAAATTAATAGGTCATCACTTTAGTTTTACTTTGCAAATATTGGAAACCCCAGAAATTAAACAAAACAAAACAGCAGCTTTGCACAAGCTAGTAATCTTGCAGTTGCCCACTGTATTCAAATGTGATGTTTGAAAACACCTAACACTTGATCAATACAGCATAGCTACCATTTTAATGGGGTAGCTTATGAATTATTTAAGTACAAGGTGCATCAGACAACATGGCACCAGTAAAATGCACTGCATTAGAAGGTAGCAAACACAAGCTTCCACATGTTCCATTTTTAGATTACAGAAACCCACTTGCCAACAAGCCAAGGGTGAGGTGATCTTTGATTCTGACAAACAAGACTGCTCAAGGAAGAAAGTTGCATTACATTAAAGGGAAAAAATAGCTAAATTATGCTAACAGAAAAATCAGGAGCAGATAGCTGGAAAAGGCCATTTTTTCTACTTCTGAACAGCATTTGCATCTTCTCTTTGCCCTCCCACCCTTTCTGGGAATATTGTACTGCAGGTCTGATTAGCAGGCTCAAGGGGCAGGGAATGTGGCCACAGCATTTTCAGTTTATTTCTGGTGTTGTTGAGTTTGTATCTCTCCTTCTCTGAATGTAAAGCTGCTTTCCCCACAGTCTCCTTTTTTCCCTTCCACCAGCAGTAGCCTCTGTCTGGAACACAGAACATTTAAAACACCTTGGAAACTCCAGCTCTCACTCAAGAATATGTCTTCCAAACACCTCAACAAGCTTTCTTCGAACTGGAGGACTGTTCTTTCTTTTTCTTAAATTGAAAGTTTGCTTTGTGATTAGTCCGAACAAATGAGTCATTTCAAAACTCCCCTTTTCTCTACCATGTTTTGTATTCCAGAAGCTGGTTTAGAAATAACAGACTGTGAAGGAAAAAAAAATCCGGCTTAGATTTTTTTGGAGGTGGGGCAGACTGTCTATTAGTTTTTTTAATGCAGCTTTTGATAACAGAAATTAGGGTGCTGAATTCTGGGTGGCAAGGAAGTGGGGTCATCATTAAATTTTCTAAAAGAAATTTGCGAGGGACTCCAGCTTATGGGGAGCCATGCTATTTGTGCTATTAGGTCTTCCTCATTGGTGTAGGGGGAAGCTGCCAGTTGCTGGGTGGAAAGGCAGTCTGCATGTGTTAAAAAGCACTTGCTGGATAGTGGGAATAATTTTTTGCTATTAAGCCAAACAATTCGTGGATAACTGAAAAAATGCCCATAACAGATTTTACATAATGCCCATAACAATGTATAAAAACCAGAGAGATCTCCATGGGCTCCCTTATGTCCTCGTGTCACCACTGTGATGGCCCAAAATAACCTAGTGAGCCTCATGGCAGAGTGGGGAATAGAACCCAGAATTCCCAGTCTAAGACTCTATCCACTATAGCAGCTCCCAACCACACAGGGCTGGCCTGGAAACAGTATGTCAACTTCAGTTAGCAATCAAGCCACCCTGTATTAAACTAACTGGACCAGCCAATTGAGACTTGGGTCTGTGTTATGCAAAGGACTGTCTTCTCTCACATTTACTTAAGTAGATATTTACATTGCCCGAGGCTCTCCTGCAAGTGCCCATCAGAAGTGGTGACTGGATACGAGAGAGAAGCTTTTCAGTGGTGGCACCCCACTTTATGGAATGCTGTCCCCAGAAAGGGGCACCTAGTGCCTACATTAAGGTTTTTTTAACACCAGGTGAAGACCTTTTTATTCTCCCAAGTGTTTTAAGAACTGCTTTTAGTATTCTATTCTGCTGGTTTTATGTCATAAAGGTTTTAATCTTTGCTGCTGGGTTTTATCTTTTCTGTCATTTTCATTTTTTGTTTTAATAGTCTGTATTTTAATATATTGTACACCACCCAGCTAACTTTGATTTTAAAATGCTATAAATGAATTAAAATGTGGAGCGTATTTCAGAAAATGGGTGCCACCTTGCAAAGTACAGCCACCTGCCTAAATTCAGAGTTTCATGGCCTTCAGAAAACAATCTTCTGTAATGATCTCTTCCCTCACAAACCCTGTGAGGAAAACAAAATGCTCCCTGGGGTACCTTGTACCTCAGCTGCTTAGGGTTATCACAGGCAAGAATCAGCACCTGGAATTGTAGCCAAAGGATTATCTTCATGGCTGACTAAGTTTTTCGTTTGCAAGGGTGCAGTTGGCAAACCATTCAAAGCTGGCAAAAGGCAGCCCTGGTTAGAATGCATTCTGACATCCTGAATGCAGAGCCACGTCTTGGAACCTCAAGTATCAAAACCTGCTTTGGTAATAGCATAGCTTCTGGAAAAGTAAACCTGGTCCTTCTAACCTGATCATGCTGCTCAACATCTAACTTGCTGGTTTGGGCCATGTCCAGAACTTCCTGAATCAGTATTATATGACTGATGGGCATAATAATAGGACCATCTTGCCAAAGTCTCACCTATTGTTGCAATGGGGGAGGAGGAGGAGGAGCTTAAAACATTCATTTGCCTGTGCCTCCATTCACTCAAAGAAAAACATCTGCAGTTAAAAAGAGGGTCTTTCAGATTGAAGCTTCTGCTGGAAGTCAAATCAGGGGATAAAAACAGTCATTTATCTCCACCAGATTGCTACTAAAAAGGTATGCTGGTATCTAGGAATTTGACAAGATTTCCATCGTGGGTTTGTAATATAGTATTAATAAGCATGTTATTCTTTAATGGAGATATAATAATTCTTAACTGAGATATCTAAATTCCTCCTCAGTGAAACATCATGGGAAATTAATGCTAACAGGCATCACAGTATCATACCAGTTACACAGAAGTATAATGTGCTTTCAGCATACCTTGCAAAGTGTTCAGCTATAGATGGCTTTCTTAAAGATCAGATTGCATATTTACTATTCATGTTCAGCACATACAAATTCTCAGAAACAATAGCATGGACCACATTTAGTACCATTCCCGTATCACTTGATCCGATCAAGGTGTTAAAAAAATCTGAAGCTGCCTTATGCTGAGTCCAGCCATTGGTACATCTACCTCAGTATTGCTTACATCAACTGAAAACAGCTCTCCAGGGAAACACAATTCTTCCCCTATTTTAAGTAAAGATGTCAGTGATTGAATAAAGCACGGACTCTACCACTGATATGGCCTTCGAACCATTGGGAAAGAAATACCTGTGAAAGTACTTTATCTCTTCTGTTGAATGTGCAAAGAAACACTGGATGAGAAAAAGTACTTGAAGCTCAGCCTATGCTCTTTTGTATCACATTGGAATCTCTCCTTTTACACTATGTCAGCTAAAACAGTGTCTGTTTTGATCCTGTCTCAGACTACTTGCTCCCTGTGGTGGCTGCTCTAGGCAATGATCCACTACACGGAGAATTCTATCATGGTGCAATCACAAAGCTGTTCTCACAGTAATCATGGGCTAGACATGTTTTCAAATATACATGCACTGGAGAGAGGTGAGAGAATCTAGCCAATGAAAGGCCAAACAGTGTTAATCTGCACTTTTATATGCGTGCTCCAAAATACAAATGGCAGTGGAACAGCAATGTGAAACAATGCGAAATTCCTAGACCTCCAAAGAATGGTTTCTCATGCACTCAAGTTTCCTCGGCAAACTATGGTGTGCAGAGATCTGTTTGCACAGGTGAGCTGCAATTGCAAAATCAAAGCAACGGGAGCACATGGGCCTGAGTTTCAAGTAACAAAGCCAAACCATGGTTAGGCTAGCATGAGTTGTGCCACTGAGACAAAGGTGGTCAGCACTTTTTCCTTTGTATCAGTTTTACTGGTGGCTACAAGGATTTGGCCACATGGCGAATTCTGCCATCATGTGTAATCCAGTGGTGAGCCAAGTGCCCTATGATCACTTTATTTGATTTATATTCCACCTTTTCATTTTTAAGGAACTCAAAGCAGCTTACATCATTCTATTCCTCCTGCTCTCAATCATATCCCAGAACACCAACCCCGAGAGATAGGTTGGGCTGAGAGCCTGTGACTGGCTCCATGTCACCCAGTTTGCTCCATAGCTGAGTGGGGACTAGTCCCGGTCCCAGGTTCTTAATCACTACACCACACTGGCTCTCTACACTTCTGGGCTATTTGTTGAATGATATTACTAAGGGCAGGGAGGAAAAAAAGACTCTAGTAACTGTTTAACCCCCTTTCCTCTTCTTTCCTTAAGCTCCTATACCCTCTCACCCAGTCACTAATCTCAGCAATGCTTACCAGACTTTAGCTAACCATGTACTTACCAATAATTGAGTTTGATGATGCAGTCCTTCCTCTTCCCCCATATTACAGAACAAGATTCCATACAGCAAGTGTTCTAGCACCACCTACCTGAGAGCAGCAGGTAAGAAATGTGTTTTAGGAATGTAACAAGAAAAATCTTAGTCCATGTGATGGAAACACCTTCTATGCAAAACAAAAGGCCTTTCTTCCCATACACATGTCTTCTCTCATTCACAAAATATCATGAAATGACAGTGAAATTGAGGAAAAAAGAATAACTGAAAATGTCCTTCAATTTCACTACCCTTTTTAGCTGTGGTAGATATTTAGCATTTATGTAGTGCTTTCAAGCATTCAAAGCACTTCACAAAGATTTAATCAACCCTTCCCAACCTGGTCAACTCCAATTGTTTTATTAGCCCCCATCAGCTCCAGTCAGCAGGACAAATATCAGGAATGTTGGGAGATGGTCTTAAACATCTTGAGAGCACCAGCTTCAAAAAAGTTGTATTAAATTGTTGCAATCCTTATAACTGACCTGTATCATAAATCAGTATTATTTGTATATTGGAGATGGTGTGTTAGAGTGGAGCTGGAAAGAAAGCTGGGGGAATGTGGCTTCCTTATGGCTATCCACCAAGTTCATGGCAAAGAAGCAATTTCAATCATGAACTTTCAAGTTTGTATGCCAGTCTTACCTAGGTTGATGTTTGACTTCAAAGCATTTACAGTTAGGGAGACATTACAGCTATTAATTATGACATCTGAAAGGCACCCTAAGAATGAAACTGACAATTCCCTCAAATTTGTCTCACAGAGTAACCGCAGGAGCTAGCAGTTAACAATGGAACAGCATGTATATGAAAGGGAATATGGCTATTCAGAAGTGACAACTTGAACCAATGTTAACAAGTGGAATGGGAGTTCAGGACAGTTATCACTACAACCTTGCTTTACCCTCTCCTGTAAATATATCAAGTCCTTAAAGATGCTGCTCAATAGCTGTCCCCTTGCAAAAATGCTGAAACTTATTGTCTGAGCCTCCAATCTCCAGCAGTTGGGTATCAAGGAAAAAACCTGGATCACAACTTACACTGATAATTTTAAGGATTTATAATCAAATAAAAGATATTTTGATTTGGTAAATTATTGTCATAAGTTCTAACATAAAGTCGGTATGCTGTGGTGGTTGGAATGCTGGACTGTGATTTACAACATGAAGCTATCTGGGTGACTTCGGGCCTAACTTACCTCACTTGTCCTTTTCCTCATCTGTATTTCTTTAATTATCCGATTTTAATTGGTATGGATTGGATCCAAGTTGTCTCAAAGAGACTAGTAGATAGTACTATGGTACTGAATTAGCAAAAACTCGTAATATGTGCTGGAGATCCAGGTTGTAGCCCCTACCTGGGCATGAAGCCTAGTGGGTGGTTTTGGGTCTGTCGTTAATTCTCAGTGTAAGCTACTTCACAAGTTGCTGTGGGTATAACATGGAAATAGGGAAGACCATATAAGCTGATTCATCAGCTGCGCCCCTACCTGGAGTATGACTGCCTGGCGACAGTGACACACGCGCTGGTGACTTCCCGCCTTGACTTCTGTAACGCGCTCTATGTGGGGCTACCCTTGAAGACGGTCCGGATACTTCAATTGGTTCAAAATAGAGCTGCCAGGCTGCTGACGGGGACTGGTGTTATGTTCACATGACTCCAGTCCTCCGTCAGCTTCACTGGCTTCACATTGAAGTCTGGGCCCAATTCAAGGTGTTGGTGATGACCTATAAAGCCCTAAACGGCTTGGGTTCTGGTTACCTGAAGGAGTGCTTACATCCATATATGCCCGCCCGCCCCTTGAGATCTGCGGGAGAGGCCCTTCTCCGGGAACCCTCCGTGAAAGAAATTAGGAGGGTAGGTACTCGGAGGAGGGCTTTCTCTGCGGTGGCGCCCAATCTATGAAATGCGCTTCCCAGAGAGGTCCACCTGGCGCCGTCGCTATTTGTTTTTTGGCGCCAGGCGAAGACCTTTTTATTCAAATGTCATTTTAATTAATAGTATTTATTTTCTTTGGCCAGGGCGACTTAATTTATACTGTTAATTTATATTAGTTATTGAGTTTATGATGGTTGTGAGCCGCCCTGAGGCTTCGGCGAATGGGGCAGCATATAAATCTCCTAAATAAATAAATAAAGCTGCCTTGGGCTCCTTGCAAGAGAAAAAGCAGGCAGGACACAAATGCACTAATAAATAAAAATATGCTTGTGAAAGTTATGGAGACTAGTGTTAAAAGCAGGGTAGACAACACAGAACCTGCATGTAGCTCCTCCTAATCTGTTTTGCAGCCCCCATTCTGTGGCTGAATTTGCAACCCAATTTTTCAGGACAACAGTGATAAAGTAGTAGTGAGTTATTTCTGTTTAAAACAAGATGCAGAGAGTATGCTTTGTTTTAAAGCATTCCCAGAGACCTTCTAGGTTTAGGGGCAGAGGAAAGAGCCGGCCTCTGGAGTTGCCCACCCTTGATTTAAAGGCAATAAGGTGAAGGAAGGTTTGCAGAGCTTTACAAACTGCATTGACTGAAAGAGTTAGACTTCGAGAAAGAAACAAATTAGAAAACAAATAGGTTAGACTTTAGTACTAATCATGTACAAGTGATAAGAATTGGGAGACAAGTTTGTACACAGGATGATAAAGACATCTTTGGTTTTTGTGTGGGAGATGAGAAGGCAACAGGATTGGAAGACCACACACAGCAAGTTAAGAAATTTCTAGATTGTGTATGATGTGAAGATTGCACAGCCACTAAGATGATGTGGCAAGTGCTGGCTCAGCTGGAAAATTATTTAGGATTCTGAGGAGTTCATATAAAGTTAAACACAGTCCCTGAATAAAATGGCATTTCTGGGCCCAAAGATAACTGGGTACTTTGAGATTTTTCAAGCCCTGGGTAAAGTTGCTGTATAATATGACAAGCAAAATACATAAGGTATCATGGAGAGAGTGTGTTGGAAAAGCTTCTTTCAAAGGTAAGTGGGGGGTCAACATTTAGAAAAGCTCAAGTAGTTAGGACTTTTTAGTTCAGGGGGAAAATAAGCAAGGGGAATGTAGCAATGTTCAAAAATTATGCTGAGTATGGTGAAAATGGATAGAATGTTCTCTCCCCTCCTGCTCCATGAAGACTTTTGGGGTCAACCAACGAAACTGATGAGCAGCAGATAAAGGAATTCTTCACACAATGGGTTGTGTATGGAATTACTTGCCACAACATATTTTGATGGCTACTGGCTTAGAATAGTATTAAGAAAGGAACTAGGCAAAGTAATTGAGAAGGGGCCTTTCAGTAGACATTCTCAAAAATGACCAATTAATTCAAGAATTAAAAGAATGAGCCTAGCTTCCTTCAGGACTATATATTCTACTCTTTAGCACTGTTATGAGATGTTCAAAAGGTTTTGGTAACTGTACCTGGTTTGACTGTCTAAATCTGGGTATACTGTGGTTTATCTTAACCATATATGGTTCGTGTTTTTGTTACCATTTAACCATGGTTCAGGGTACAGAGATATCTGAAACGAAAGCAATGGTTTCTTATTTCCTTGTGGATGAGCTGGAGTGGAAGAGTCTTATTTCCTCGTGGAAGAGGAGGTATACAAAACTGGTTGGTGGTGGTGGGGGACTATGTTCTTGTAGCACTAAAGCCTTGCTTAATGTCAGAGGTGACTGCAAATAGTAAGCCAGTGACTACAACTAATTGTGGGGTAGCAACAACAAGGTGGGGATTTTACCTTCATACCAGTTATGGGCTTCCTGAAAACATCCAACTGACTCAGGCAGATTGATTGATCTTGTAGGGCTCCTCATGAACTGAGCTCTTCTGACTAAATGGAATCCTGTGCCCCACAGTGGCTACTGAACTCAGCCAAGAACTCCTCCACTTCAGATCTCATCTCAGTAGCCTTGGGCAAGCAACTATTCAGTTCCAGTCCTTTACCTACATTATTGGAACAATGGCCAATTTCACAGAGCTCTTGTAACACTGTGAAATGCTTTGAACAACAGAAATGAACTATACATATACAATGAATTATTTAGAAGTAGTATGAAGTGAAATAACTGAAGGGTCCCAGTTGATCAAACTGCAATATATTATGCCCATAATCCAAAACACACTATGGAATAGGTCCCCTTAAATTTATGGTACTGATTTCTGAGTAAACAGGCTCTGTAAATTACTTCTGCAAAAGCAAGATCAGAATACCAGGCAAAAATAAAGAGATCAGAGAATTAAATATGCAAGAAGGATGCAAGAAGCAAGATAAAGGCGGAGAATGTGTGGGGAAATGATAGAACCCAAAAGGAAGTTAAAGCTGAAAAGATATTTTGGACAAATATGGGGATGATCAAGTGATTGTGGGAAAGACTAGAGTATTTGGCAATAGCTTGCAAAAGCTACAAGGTGAAAGGTCTGGAGAATGGAGTATAAAAAATTATAAGTTAAAGACAGGAATAAGAAGTTGTGTGCATAATAAGATGAAGGGCATGTATACTGGCATATATATTAACATGTATACCCCCATCTCAACAAGTAATACATAAAACTTCCTGAAAGAGGTGGGGGTGTAGAACCAATGTAAAAAAAAGTAGGCTCACACTCAAGGCATGAAGGAGTAGTATGCCTTTTCATTATCCCGGACTAGAGGTTTTTTTTCATAACAGATGGATTCATTCCAACCTTATGCCAATATCAAAAGCAGACCCACCCCACTTTCCTATAGCATCATCTTTATTTCTCTCCCCTAAGCTATCTGTCAATTTGAGAGTTCCACTTTCGCACACATTTCTCCGAAGCTTCGGTCCATCAACTGCTGGGAGAGGGGAGGGAAACCCTGCAGGTTGGTTGGGCTAAAGTTGTATGCATGTGTCTGGGGGCAAAGAAAATATCAGGGCTGATGTAGCCTAGGGAAAGATAAGTCACGCTGGATTTTAACATGGGGGAGGAAAAGTGACAGAAGCAAGTTATTGCAAGAAGAGGCCAAATGTAGGCAGAAAGGAGGAATATTATAAGGTTTTCTACCAAGAAGGCGGAGAAGCGATGAGGGGAGTGGGACGCAGTTACATGTGTGTGAGGGGCGCAGCTGCATTTTTCAAAAGTGGGGGGAGGCACTGAGCTGGGAGCCGCTTGGATGATGTGCCGCGGGGGCAGGGAAAGGAGTCAGCTTTTACTTAGGAGGAGAGACTCTCGGAGAGAGGGCTAGAAAGGGGGCGGAAGAGAAGAAGAAAGTGAACATTTCCCACGAGGAGGAGAAAGAGAAACTGCGGGGAGGCACGAAGAGGCGGCATGGGATGCCAACGCGCTCCTGTGACGAGGGGAAAGATGGGGGAAGCTGCCCTCCTGCGCCCCCGGCCTACTCCCCTGGGGCTGCAGGGCGGCAGCAACGGGTCACTGTGTGCGTGCGGATGATTCACCCCCTCCACCTTCGTGGCCGCCATTTTGGAGCCGCGGCTCAGGGCTCCTGCGCGGGCTCATTCTCCTCGACGGGCCCCACCGCGCCCGCTTTCTCCCTTCCTTTCCCGTTCTTTTCTCCCCCCGAGATCCAGCTAGGAGGCTTACCCGCCACTCGGCGCTAGCCGTGCCCTCGCTTACCCGCCGACGCGTCTCGCCAGCGCCGACCGAGCCCGCTCCCGCCTCAACGATCTCCGCGCCTGAGAGGAAAGGGGCGGGGCCAACGGTTCGGAAAGCCCCGCCCCTTTCCTTGCAACTCCCCTCCCCGCCATCTTATTGTGAAACTCCACAAAGAAACTACCGCCCTGCCCCCTTTTTCCTTCGTCACCTTTTCATTGGGGGAGAGGGGAGCATCTGAGCGCACTTTGATGCCGCCCATTGCTGCCGCCGCTGTTTATTGGATGGAGAGAAAGACGGACATCTCGCATTCTATTAGTCGTAGGGTTGCGATGGTCCTTAGCCCAACCCAGCAGCTCCTCATTTTTTTAAAATGTTCGGCTCGCCATTGGTGCCCGGGGTTGCCATGGCGTTTAGCACCGCCCTTTCTCTCTAAGTGGCTGGCGAGGGGAAACAAGCGAAGTTTCAAATGTCTGCCAGAGTCTAGCCACGGTTCTGCCGCAACCCGGGCGAACAGTGGCGGGGAGCGAGCTCCATGGAACTTGGGACTTGCTGCCGCGTATACGCGCAAAGGTCCGCAATTCCAGGCACGTTTTCTTGGAAGTAACTCCGCCATACCCAGTGAAACTTACTTCTGAGCAAGCATGCTTCTGATCACCACTTCATGTCAAAAATGAGGGTAGGTGTTAGTCTTCCCCAACCAGAGGCTTCCCAGCTGTGTTGGACTACAATTCCCAGCATTCCATAGTTACCCCCATCATCCCCAGCCCATTGATTAGCCCTTGATGCTGATGCTGCAAAGTAATGCTGCATGCTACCGATCTTTTATTTAGAACAAATGATATTCAACTGGAAACTGAAAAGCAAACATACTTAAGTTGATGTCATGAGGTAACGCCTTCCCCATGTTGCGTTTTCAGATCGGGAAGGGTGGGCAGCCAGAGAGGGCTGCAGAGTGATTGAGAGAGGTGCAATAGAAAGGAAGAAAACAATTCTCTTCAGAATGACACAGTAAGCTCAGAAACGCCACCAAAATGGCAAACACCAAACAAGCTGAGGGGAAAAAGAATCACAGAATAGTTGAGTTGGGAGGGGCCTATACTGTCATGGAATCCAACCCCAGGCTCAGGGCAGGATTTCAGGTTCACACATCCCTGAATGCCTCCAATGCTCCAGTGGTTCCATTGCTGTCCTGCTCTAACAGGAAGTTCTTCCTGATGGCCAGCAGGAACATGGCTTCCTGAAACTTGAGCCTGTTGTTGTTGTTGTTGTTGTTGTTGTTGTTATTAGAACATTTCTATGCTGCCCCTTGCCGAAGCCTCGGGGCAGCTTACAACACAATAAAATACAATACAATACAAAAATAACAATATAATATTAAAATTAATAATATAAAATAAAAAATATAAACAATATAAAAGAAGTTATAAAAGAAAAGTTATAAAAGAAAAGAAGTTGCCCTGCCTCTGGGATGATTGAGAAGAGAGCCTGGCCCTCATCTGTGTACCAACCTTTCAAGTATTTGGGAATGAGGCACCACTGTGTTACAACCGTTAATGTGGCTCCAAGAAAGAAGCTGTGTGACAAGCACCAGTTTTGAAACAGCCTCCCAAGCTCAGGAGTACCAGAGCTTTGTTTGCAAAATGGGATCCCACTTGCGAGTTTGATGGGGAAGATCCGGCTACAAGTGGTCCAAAACAAAATTGTTATACTTCCTTGCTCACCATTGGCAGTAGCTATAGTTTCCTTCTTCCTGAAGGTTTTTTTGGGTTTTGCACTGTTTGTTGAACTTAATGTGTTATTCCGAGGAAGCTATGTTGTTTCTTCTTGACATTTTTGCTGCTGCCATAACTGTCTCTATGTGTTCCACCTGCACCCAACACTTTCTGTTGCAGCTGGTCTAGCTTGTTTTTTGCACTTTTCTGAATCTCCTGTCTGTTTCTTGCACTGACCTTTGCTGAAAGCCTTGGGCTGGCAGGCTGTCCTTCTGCAATCAGGAGACAAGGTGTGGGGGGAGAAGGCAGGTTTGCTCCAGGCAACAAGCAAGAGGAGCGAAATACAGGCTTTCTGCAGAACAAGGACCTTCAGCAAAGGAAGGCAAGATGGTTAGAGGGTAGGGAATTTTTGGAGCTAAAGAAAGAGCTGGCTAGGGAATTCTGAGCAGCAAGGAAAGACAAAGACAAGAGGTCAGCTATTAGGAGAAAGAGGCTCAGAGCAAATACAAGTTATTTGGCAAGTAGTGGCTGGGTACAAGAGCTCCAAATTTTAATTGCTTGATGGCAGCAGTGGAGTTTGACAGAAATGAGAGGGCCGGAAACACCAAACAAGCAAAAAAAGAGATGGTCCAGATCAGGGGTCTCAAACTCAACTGACCTGGGGGCTGCTGGAAGTAGAGTCTGGGTGAGGCTGGGCCGCATCAAGTATTCCACCACCGCGGTGGTGGGGGGCCGCTCATCCCGTGTCGCTCCCGGAGGCCGGTCCGGGCACTGCCAGCGCTTTGAAGGTCGCAGGGCCCCTCCCCGTGCCCCATCCGTCCTGGCAATGGGCCCGCGGGCCGCGAGTTTGAGACCCCTCGTCTAGATGCAATATGAGGGCTCAATCAATCAAATTAATAAGCAAAATGAATAAAAGAATCAAATATAGTAGCTGATTACTTAGGGTGCTGTGAACAGAGGACACCAAATATTTGGGCGTGACTCTAGAAGGGGACCTAATTATTTCTATGAAAATGATTTTATACTCTTAAGATACAAACATGGAAGGCTGAGAAAGGTGGATTCAATCAAAACAGTTAGGGACAGTAAAAGTAAGCATGATAAAAGTGTGTGTGGGGGGGTAACCAAAGTTAACAAGAATTAATTTTTATATAGGAAGGCAAGTAGGTGAGGATAAAGAAAAATCTTGTTCCCGTTTTGGTGAAAGTTAGATATAGTAGATATATTTTGGAGGAAGTAATTAGAGCTTCCTCTAAAAGCAAATGTGACAAAACTGAGGCTGTCATACTTTGGACACATCATGAGAAAGCGAGAAGCCAATCATGTTTGGGAAAGTCGAAGGCAGAAGAAAAGAGACCAGAGATGAGATGGATCTAATCCGCCCAGCGCTGAACTTGGAATTGCTGAATGGAGCTGTCATGGACTGGGCATTCTAGAGGGCTTTCATTCATGGATAGGTCAGAGAAGACTTGACAGCAAATAACAGCAATAATGTTATGGTCAAAAGAAGGATTGAAATATTTCCATTCAGCAGAAGGAACAGAACCTACAATCAACAGTGGATCTTATGACACTTTGAGGTTGCCTGGGTGCCCCTGTTGGGCTTGATGGTTGGGTACAGCACAGCAGTGGCCCTGGGGCAGCCCTTTCCCAGTCCTCCTGCTGGTATCCCAGGGGACATGATGGGAGCCGTGAGGGGATAACAGTTTATTTATTTATTTTTATTTATTAAAACATTTTTATGCCGCCCCATTCGCCGAAGCCTCGGGGCGGCTCACATATTTAAGTTAAAATAATTATAATATAAATTAAATTATAAATATAAAATTAAAATACAGCTGTCATCTGCTTCCCTGCCCTATGCACCTGACCATGCCAGGAGAAAGCTTGCTCAGGAGCAATTCTGCTTTCCCAGCATGGGCAGGAGCGTGAACCAAGGTGCCTGTGCTGGGCTTCCGAGCCCAGTGGGAAGTGCTCTATTCCACCACTCGGCAGCAGGGTTGAGCAGCCCGCGGGGCACAGAACCAGCAAGGGTGGCTGGCCCTCCTGCTGAGGAGCCCCCGCTGAAAGCACTGCCGCGGCCCTCATTCCTTTGGTCTCCATTGGTATGAGGCCCACAGCACTGCTCCAGCCGGGGCAGGGGGACAAGCTGGTGCCCCCCATGCATTCCTCCCCAGATGACAAAATGGAAGCTGAGGCAGATGATTTGGCAGTTTCAAGGTTACCTAGTGAAGGTTCTCAAGCAGACCGTGTGAACCAGCCCACCTTGGAACCGTGGGGGGCGGAGATGGAAGGAGAGTGAGCGGACCAGTTATGAAGCATCCGGCATCCCCACCATCTAGCCCTCCAGCAGGAGCCACCCTTAGCGTAGAATCAGAATCTTTTTGAAAGGGAGGGAAAAAGGAGATGTTTCAGTGTTGAAACTCTTCATATGAGTAGATGCTTCTTCCCCATCTTGAGGAGAACACAACTTGGATTTATGCTGTTCATAAACTGCAGGGCTCAAATGACAGACTGTTCATTTAAGGTTTTGTCTAGGTCTGCTGGAGAGGAAAAAGAGGAGAGACCTGCCCACAACTGCACCATCGGAGACTCCCTGTATGATGCTGTTGTTATAGTTCTATGCTGCTGAATAGCCAAAGCTCTCTAGGCAGTTCCCAACAGTAGACACTGTATAAATCTTGAGTTTTGCACAGGTGAGAGAAAGACAGTGTGAAGCAGCTCAAGAAGGAGCAAAACACCTGTCTGTCTATCTAAAATATTTATATGCTGTCCTGTCGCGAAAGCCTCAGGATGGCTCACATAGATAAAATACAATAAAATATAAATAAAATTATCAATCCACACTGGCTGCAATAAAAACATATAGGTCATGATATTAAAACTTATTAAAATATTGCTGAAATAAAAAGGTCTTAACCTGGCGCCAAAAAACATATAACGACGGCGCCAGGCGGACCTCTCTGGGGAGTGCATTCCATAGGCGGGGCGCCACCACAGAGAAGGCCCTCCTCCGGGTACTTTGCCTCCTGATGTCTCTCCCAGAGGGCTCCCGGAGGAGGGCCTCTGCTGCCGATCTCAGGGGGCGGGAGGGCAAATATGGAAGAAGGCGTTCCTTTAGGTATTCAGGTCCCAAGCCGTTAAGGGCTTTATAGGTAATGACCAGGTAGGTAATAGGTAATAGGCTTTATAGGTAATGTTTTAGAAACAACCTCCCCTCCCCAGCCCGGCCTACCC